TGGTTAAAATCCATATAAATAAAAGTCTGGAGTATTACCTTTTGTGGTACAAAATTCAACATCAAGGTTGAATAGACAGTCTGGGGTTGATTTACTAAGACTGGAAAGTGCAAAACCTGGTGCAGCTCTGCCTAAACACCAATCAACTTCCAGGTTTTATTGTCACAGCTTAATTGAACAAACAGAAGTTAAAAGCTGATTGGCTACCATGAAGAGCTACACCAGATATTTCACTCTACAGTTTTAGGAAATCAGCCCCTATGAGTTGCTGTACCCAAGAGTTGTTTGTTCCTCTTTCTACAAATATGTTCCTAGCACTATTCAGTTGTTCTCTGCCTCTGTTGCATTTATATGTAGTCTTCCAATTCTTCCCTGCCTTCATGTCGCTCATATTTTCCTTTGTTCTCTATATGCACACTGCACTAAACTCCAATATTGTCATTATTCAGGTACTTGCTAGAAAAAACGGCTTACATAGTATGGAGAACAATTTGATGAGAGAGTCTCAATCAGGACAGCTAAGTAGCAACAAAGCATTAGTGGTAACTGGAGACTTTTTGGTAAGATTCTCCATTTATTTCAATATATCTAAGATTTGCAGGAATACATTTGGTAGTTTATTTTGTGACCATTCTACTTTTAATCATCCCTACTCTTCCTCCTACTTTGCCCCAGTTTTATTTCATCCTGGTACTTTCCTCCAGCAGAGCACCAAGTAGGTAACATTAAAGAGACACCCCATCAGGTAACATTTTTCAAGCTGCTTTCATAGATAAAATGTTTTATATTAGTGCTTACTGATGATGCTTTTGCTATGACAATTATTCTTTTTGTCAGCAATAACACTTTAGTTTTTTTACCCCCTTCCCAGTATGTGTATTACCATGTCTTGTGGTTTGCCGCAACGTGTGGGTTGGAGGTGCATTGTATCAGTGCACTGGGACTCCCCACACCACACTGACACACCACAGTATGTGCGTTGGGGTGAAATGTTTTGAAAGACACATTTTACCGCATGTGATCGTAACATATAGGTTTAAAGCTACAGTCACATTAGACTGCATGGCAAAATGCAGTGTTTAACCATGCAGGCCAGTGCAGGGCCAGCTTGTTTTTCTCTCTCTCTCTTTCTCTCTCTTTTTTACATTTATTTTAAGTGTGGTAGTGACACTTTATTGATGGAACTGTGCTCATGTGGTGCTATTCAGTGCAGTATGGAAAAATGCAGACATTCTGTATTTTTTTAATGCAAATATATTGTGTATAGGCGAGCTCTGGAAACAAGTATAAAGAAAAGCATCTAGCACACAAGGTAAAGGTAACAACACCTAAAAGTATATGGTATAAAAGTGCAGCACATGTATTTTTTTGTATACTGCAACGCACATCACTCCAGTTCTGCAGTGTGAGCGGGGTACATAGAAAACCTGCATTTATCCATTGTGAAAAAATGCTAATAGTGTGAATGAGCCCTTAATGGGGAGGAAACCTTTCCAGAGAGAGACATGTCTATCTCTGACTTCTTATTCTGCCAGTTACCAGACTATCATTATGTCTTTTTGGCTTGAAAACGTTAATTCAATTACTCAGAACAAGTATGCGGACAAGGAGGACCTCCAAATTTACTCTATATAGAAAAGCCTAGTGCTTTAGAAATCTTTTGTCTTGTATTCAAAGGTTCTATTCTGACTTGTTTCAAGCTAGACACAGCACTTTCTTAAACAATGACAAATCCACTACCCATACACCATTGCATAGAAACATTAAAGCGGAGCTCCACCCAAAAGGGGAAGTTCCGCTTTAAGGACTGCTCCCCCGCTCCCCATTAAGGATTGGCACCTTTGAGGGGAGCAGGTACCTGTCAAATTCGGGTACCCGCCCCCCAAAGGGAAGCGGAAGGTGTCCTCCCTCCCTGTAGTCTTTTGGGACGCGCATGCGCAGTGGGTACCTGGCTCTGAAGCCGCAAGCTGTCACAGCCGGGTGCCCACACTGAAGATGCCACCCTCCTGGAATACAGGACAGCCTGTGAAACGGGCTGCGGGGGACACACCGAGGGACAGGTGAGTGCCTGTTTTTTTAAAACTCAGCAGCTACAGTTTTTGTAGCTGCTGACTTTTATTTTTTGACAGGGTGAGTGGAACTCCGCTTTAACTAATCCCACGTTAACATATTCACTTTCATTGTGCAAAACATATATACAGTATATAATTAAAAACATTTTTATTGTGTAAATAATTTTCACAACATTTGTACTGGAATGTATATTGTGCTACATCACAAAAAAAATCTAATACAATGTAACAATAAAAATAGAGAATACATGTAACCAATGCAATTATCTTAGTTTCAGAGCATGCTATCTGGTGGTAGAACAGCCTGCTACAAAATAAGTAGTCCCGTGACAAAAGGTTGCAAGTGTATGTTGATCTATTCACTTAATTTTTCATTTCAAAGAACCTAATTTGGGTAAAACAATGAATGGTAAAAAAAAATTTTATTGCCATACATAATTCAGATGTAAATTCTTTAAAGATACAGGGTATAGAGAATATTGTAAAGGCAGAAATAGGTGGAGATACATTTTCTAAGCTGTGCAGGGGACTTTTTGGGGATTTTTACTTTAAACACCAGGATTCCAGTTTGTATGAACTTTGAAAAAAATACTTATTACTATGAATGCAATTACTTCCTTCTCCTGGGAATTGAGAACGTGTGGAAACAATATGTCTTTTTATGCTACATTCCATATGGTGTTTTTCATGTCTTGTTTAGATGGAATTTGCTGACCCATTTGTATTTTTAAAGAGCAGGATTAAGATGATGGAACTTGATTAATGATTGTTAAGATGTATGGTACTGATAATAATAGTAATAATTTCGACAAGTAGGAGGAAAAGGTTTCTTTAAAGTAGAACTATAGGCAAAACTTTTTGTTTCAAGGCGTCAAGATAGGACCCCTCCCTGAATCTTTGTATCTTCAGCACTAAGAGCATCTCAGCTGTTGTGCCACAGGACCCTGAGTGGAGAGAGTGAGCTGTATTGCGGTACCATTACCTGAAAGGAACCTGAGAGGAGTAAGTGATACTGCTGAAGGGAGCATATACGACATCTTCCCCTGTGACGAGATAGTATCCTTAAGGATCATTGGGGTGATCCTAAAAAGGGAGTTGGCCCTTGGGGTCACGGTTTGGAGGTGAGGGGGCATTTCTGCTGTTTTGAGGATTTGGCACAAGAGTGGAAACCACTAGTTGACTTCATCACCTGCATGATTTGTGTTTTTTGAAGATCACAAATATATGTTAATTGGACATTATGTGAGATTTTTCATTTGTTATATGTATGGTTGATCACAATTCTTTTGATATTTGGTTCATTATTTATTTACTTTACTATGTCACTAAACACAATTTGAGTGTTTTTCCCTTTTGTTATAAGGGATCACTATTTATTTATCACAATATAGTCCCTGTTGTAGGGACAAGGGGGGATTTATATTGATATACAAGTATTCACTGAGTGTTGTCACAGGAGATTCCTGTGAGTTTCACAAGTTTTGCACTTGATTGGATCCGCTTTGGATCAGAGCACTGTGTGTGTTTAATATCAGTACACGTTTATTATTTGTGTATATATTTATTTTTAGTTAGCGCTTCACCATTTAATTATTCATTAGGTAGTAAACATGTTTTTAATGTTTCATATGTATATTTTTGTATTGCACAATGAAATTGAAAAAGTTGGGAAAGAGGGACATGTTATAGCACAAAGCATGTAGGCAAAGGTTAAACAGACCATAAAGAAAAAAAGTGCAAAAAAATTATGGTTATAACAAACTTTTTTTTTTTGTCACCACTCTTTTCTTTTATACTAGGTTTTTAAAATAACAAATGTAATAATTTGGATAGATGTAAGTTTAATTGCTGTAAAATACTTTGGTCAATTGAATAATACATTTGGTTTGAGGTATATAGTGTACCTTAGTCCAAAAAGAGAGACATCTGAAGAGGAAGGAGGAACAGAGGGATTTAGTTCCAAATGAGGGACATCCCCTCTAAATCAGGGACAGCTGGGAGGTATGGGTTAATGATCATGTGGCACATTAATTAAAGTGTTACTAATCTCAGGACCCTGCATTCACTATACATGGTCTCCCACAGTACACAGAACATGAAAATGAAATTAATTTAGTAAATATAAACTCCTAAATACCTTTTCTCATCAGCAGTTAGAGCAGTTTTGTGACTTCTATCAGTGTTCAGCAGAGAACTGGTTAAAGCTTGTAGGAGGAGTTTTCTTTCTGCTCCAGGAGGATGCAGAACCCCTTACCTCTGTCTGGACAGTGCTGATTGGCCCTGTGCTGATCACATGCACTCTCCCAAGAGAAAAAAAAAAACCTATCTAGCAATACACACAAAAGTGAGCATGTGCAGAGTATCTCCACAGGATATGTCTTATCAGGTGATAAGAGGGGGACACTGGAAGAAGGGGAGGATCAGAGAAGTCAGGATCAAACAGCCTTTTTACACAATGCAGAGGATTAACCCCTTAGGTTCCACAGTGAGTATATCAAGCATGCTTTACTGCATATAAAGGCTAATTTTACTGTTGTGGGTTTAATAACACATTAATGTTTCTATATAATGCTATACATGTAGTCATTCTTTGAGAAAGCGCTGTGCCTAATACGAAACACGTCAGAATACAAATTGTTCCTCCCGGCTATTTTAATAAAGGAAAAATATTATTTTCCATCTCATTGTGCAGTGTTCCTGTTGCTGGTATAAGGCTGCATTTACATTTGAGCATTTTGTAGCTTGAAGCTCAAAGCTCCAAAAAAGCTCAAACTTAAAATATCAATGGTGCTCTATAGTACCTGTTCATACCTGATCGCAGGAACAGGCACCATAGAGAACAATTGACTTTTTAAGATTGAGCATTTTTGGAGCTTTAAGCTTCAAGCTACAAAACCGTGTGAATGTAGCCTTAAAGCAGAGTTCCACCCAAAAGGGGATTGGTTCCTTTGGGGAGCGGGTATCTGAATTTGACAGGTACCCGCTCCCACTTCAGCTGTGCTAAGTGATCAGAAGTGGAAGTTGTCCTCTCCCCCTCCCTCCCCGTAGTCTTCTGGGACATTTGACAGATCCCAAAAGACTACAGGGCCATTCACAAAGCACAGCACTTCTGGCGCATGCGCAGTGGGCACCCGGATGTGAAGCCGCAAGTTTATTATTCTAAACATTATTTTGAAATCATGTCTAAAGCTTCTGACTAGAATCACTCTGGTTACAAAGACAGACGATACCCCTGAATTTTCAGCACAATCCCCTTAGTATGCGTTTTGGTGCCCAGGTGTATTATTACTGTCATCATGTGCTCACATAAAGACCAAGCATGTTGCAATATGCATGTTATGCAATGCTATGTTCTTCTGAAATATACTTTTTAGGAATAGACTTTGTAAATCTACAAAACAGGCATTATTGTTTTCTTCTGCATGTGGGTATCAATAAAGAATTTGTAACAGCTATGGTATTATATTTTCAGACTGAGATACAATAATAATAATAATAATAGTGTTAAATATATTACAGCCTATTATATGTCCTGGAAATGTCTTCCAGAATAATTTTATGACCTCGTATGAAAACCAGACTGAAGAAACGTCCATATGGAAGAAACTGATTTTGTCTCTAAGAAAGGAGCAAACGGATAATAAAATCAGCCAAAGAGCAAGAAAACTGGTTGAGATGGCATGTCAGTACCAGTCAGTTATTTGCTGTAGAATGACACCGAAACAAAAAGCCAGCATTGTGCAGCTGGTGAAAACAAACAAGAAGGTCACAACTCTTGCCATTGGAGATGGGGGAAATGATGTCAACATGCTAAAGAGTAAGAGACAAATGAACAAGTGTATGTATGTACATGTGTGTGTGGTGAAACCCTTTTAACCACCTCCCGTCCGGCCGTTGTATATAAACAGCCGGACGGTGGCAGTGCAGGGTCAGGTGGCCGTTTATAAACAGCCTCCCCGCACCCTGCTTGTGTGCGCTCCCTGGGAGTGCGCAGCATCACGACCCGGTGCGTGCTGTGTCCTCCGGACACAGTGGAACACCGATCATCGGACGGGACCTCTGTACGAGGTCCCAATCATGTGATCACTGATTGGCCAATCAATGATCACAAGCAGAGTAGTAAGCTTGATGTCACTTGTGACATCGCAGGATGTAAAAGCAATCCGTGTAAAAGAAAAAAAAAATCTTCATCACCACCCACAAGCAGTACAGTGTCACCATGGTGACACTGTACTGCTAGGGTGACCGTATGTAAAAAAAAAAAAAAATTATAAATAAAAAATATAAAAAAATTTGACTTTTTAATTTACATAGCAAAAAAAATAAAACTCCCAGTGGTGAATAAATACCACCAAAATAAAGCTTTATCTGTCTAAAAAAAATGCTAAAAAATTAATATGGGTACAGTGTTGCATGACTGCGCAATTTTCATTCAAAGTGTGATAGCACTGAAAGCTGAAAATTGGCCTGGACAGGAAGGGGTTAAAAGTATCCGGACTGGAAGTGGTTAATAACTATGTAACCTATGTAGCTTGTTCAATTAAGCTTTCAATAAAACCTGTAAGCTGATTGGTTTCTATGCAGAAGTTCACAAGATTGAGTGAACCAGCTTTAGTAAATAAACCCCACTGAGTGAGCTGCAGCACACTGAATATGTCATCTTGAGAATCTCTTCTGTATCTTCAGTGTCAAAACATGTAAAGATGGCCTGATTGCTTAATAACATGACTGCCTAATAAATCTTGCCACTGTTCAGGAAATTACACAGGACTAATAGACAAATTGTGTGAAGGGCATGTATCAGATGCTGCATATATAGTTTGCTAGAGTGCTGATCACACTGGTGCCATGGAAAATGGGAAGACAGCAGTGTGTGCTGGAGTGTAGATGTCACTGGTGGCAGGGATAATGGGGAGTGAGCTGTGTGTGCAGGAGTGTAGATCTCACTGGTTGCAGGGATAATGGGGAGTGAGCTGTGTGTGCTGGAGTGTAGATCTCACTGGTGGCAGGGATAATGGGGAGTGAGCTGTGTGTGTGCTGGAGTGTAGATCTCACTGGTGGCATGGATAATGGGTAATGAGCAGTGTGTGCTGGAGTGTAGATCTCACTGGTGGCATGGATAATGGGGAGTGAGCAGTGTGTGCCGGAGTGTAGATCTCACTGGTGGCATGGATGATGGGGAGTGAGCTGTGTGTGCTGGAGTGTAGATCTCACTGGTGGCATGGATAATGGGAAGTGAGCTGTGTGTGCCAGAGTATAGATCTCACTAGTGACATGGATAATGGGGAGTGAGCTGTGTGTGCTGGAGTATAGATCTCACTGGTGGCATGGATAATAGGGAGTGAGCTGTGTGTGCTGGAGTATAGATCTCACTGGTGACATGGATAATGGGGAGTGAGCTGTGTGTGCTGGAGTATAGATCTCACTGGTGACATGGATAATGGGGAGTGAGCTGTGTGTGCTGGAGTATAGATCTCACTGGTGACATGGATAATGGGAAGACAGCAGTGTGTGCTGCAGTGTAGATCTCTCTGGTGGCATGGATAATTGGAAGACAGCCGTGTGTGCTGGAGTGTAGATCTCACTCGTGGCATTGATAATGGGGACTGAGTTGTGTGTGCTGGACTGTAGATTTCACTGGTGGCATGGATAGTTAGGAGTGAGCTGTGTGTGCTGGAGTGTAGGTCTCACTGGTGATACGGATAATGGGATTTTTTTGCTAAAAAAAATCCCAATACGTGTAAATTAATTGGTTTATGTGAAAGTTATAGCATTTACAAATGGCTGTATATATTTATACTGGGATTTCTTTTTTTAATTTTTACTAGTTATGGCGGCGATCTACAACTTATAGCGGGATTGCAGCAGGCATTCTGACACTGAGGGGAACTGACTTGGTGTCATTGACATCCCCAGTGACACCAGTACAGTGATCAGTGCTAATGAAAAGCATTGACACTGTACTAATGGCACTGGGCAGGAAGGGGTTAAAATGTGGGGTGATCAAAGGATTAACTGCGTGCTATGTGCCGTTGAACATAGTGTGCTGTGTTAGTGCTTCACTGTAAGTACACTGCTTTGTATGGCTGTGCTATGCAGAGCCATGCAAAGCAGTGTGCAGGAGCTGAGAGGGGAGAGAAACTGTATTGTTTACAAACAGTTCTCCCCCTCATCGGAGATGCTCGGCAATCACTGGCCAGGACCCGGCCCAGGCCCTGAATGGCGGCGCAGGTAAGGCTTGCGCGCCCCCTACCCGGAACTGCAAAATCACGTATATATACTTGATTTTGTGCACCCGTGCCACCCTGTAGCAGTACTTCTGCTATAGTGCGGACAGGAAGCGGTTAAATGTGCTGATATACTTTTTCTTTTTTTTATTTAAACCAACTGTATCTGTATAGGAAACTTTCATTGACTGTGTAGTCAGCTAGGGGGAGCTAGATCCTAATGGTTAAACAGGAGCTGAAAAGCAGCTCAGGTGTAATAGCCAGAGGGTCAGGAGCTGGAAGACGCTGCAGACTCAACCCTCTGAGATTCCTTCTGCCTAGAACTTTGGAGAAAGTTCTAGAAGCAGGGGGCGGATGTAAGGAGTGGCTGATCTGCATATTCAAGGAAATCCCCAACAGGAGGCTTGGCAAGGGGTCAGAAATAGCCCTTAAATATGAGTGAGCCTGTGCAGTGAGAGAGGAGTCAGGTGGAAGAAGGAGAGTTAGAGGGAGAGTTTGGGTGGAAGATGTGAGGCTGAAGGAAGGAGGCTGCGAGGAGGCCCAGTGGAATGAGGTCTACTTACGGGCTTTGAGCTGGAGAGGAGGATAGCTCAGAGCTCACCGACCTCCTGAGAGAGGACCACCTGTGTGGCAACGAAGGAGTAGCCCAGCTGATAGGCCTGGTAGCTACCACCAACCCACAAGTGGTACAGGGGAGGATCTGAGTGAGTACACTTGCATCCCCTGGGTGGATAGGTGAAGGAACACTCTGGTGGGAAACCAGATTAGCTGCCTGCCAATGACTGTTCATCTCTTAAAGTGACAGGAACCAGATCCCCTGTTCAGGGCTACCTCCAGATTGCTGGGTGACAAGAATAAATTAATCTAGGGTCTGGGGTGGTACACTAAGGAGATGCTAGCTAGCTCTTCAATAGAGACTGTGCTGCAGAGAAGGCTTGTAAATAGTTTCAGGAAGTTGTCCTCAGTTTATCAGTACCCTTGGGCATCCTGCACACCCCTAACCTTATCCCAGTTCAAATCCCCTCAATACACAACAAAAAGCAAACCTCAAGGACTGATTTCTGACTCCGGATGCAAGATTTTGTGAAGATGCGTGATGCCTGGCTGTGCTGTACTATAGGCGGACCCAATTCATCAGCAACTCCTAAGGGGGTAGTGCTACAACTGTTTTGACAATTGCATTTATGGTCATTGTGGTGCACTTACATGCATTTACTGTTGTTGCGCTGAATAAAAATAGGACATGTTCTCCATTTATACAGCACAGGCCAGTGCATATCAACACAATGCACTGGTGTTAACTGTTGCTATTGAAATACATTGCCTTTTCAATGTACTGTATATGCAGTGGCACGAGCACATCTGGTGTTTATTAACCCTAAAGGTTTTCTATAGTGTTGTAGGTGCCTGTTAATAACAGTAAGTACATTTGCATTACTTACAAACCACTATGTTAATTAAATTGACAAGCACACTTATAGCCTTATTCTAATAGCAAACAAACGATGTGCAATGCACAATACAAGGCAGAGCAACAGTTCAATGCCAATACAGCCATGAAGAATTTCTTAATATATCCATTACAGTAGCAAAATAAGGGACTCCCCTAGTTCAAAACTGAAAAGTTCAAGTTCACCTTTTAGCTGTAACAGGAAGAAGGAGCAGCACATAGATTCAAACCTCCATACTGTATGAAAACCGTTCTTTGTGTAGCACTCAGTCCAGCAAGGGCCTGCTGATTTGATCCCAAGGTTCTGTGAC